CGCGCACAGCTTGTGCTTTCGACAGTTTGAAGCCTCGTCAGTTGCTTCACCTAGACGATGCAGGTCTGGAGGCCTTCATCGATCTTATCATGATGTGCGAGCGGCAGGCCGATTGGCCTCCCATGCCAACAAATATCATTTTTCTCCAAAAACGCCTCGGCGGTCTGCGCCCGATAGCCCTGATTGCCCTCGTCGCCCGCGTGCAGGCTTGGCTCGGACGCTCGATTTAGCTTCCTGGAAGAAGGCGGACGACCGCGCCTTCTTCTGGGCCAGCAAAGGCAAAGCCTGCCACCGCGCTGTTTGGCAGCAGTCCGTCTGGAGCGAATGGGCCACGGTCCAGGGCGAGCGTAACCAGGCCCCTGAAGCCCGGGCGTCCGCTTCGGTTTTCCTGGACCTTTTAAAAGCGTTTGAAACCATCCGGCACGAGCGGCTCCCGGACGCCGCCGTGTTCTACGGTTTCCCGTTCTGGCAGCTAAAACTTTGCATCCAGCTGCATCGGGCTCCGAGGTATCTTACTTTGCAGAATGTTGCGCCCAGCCCCGTGAGCACGCTCCAGGCGCTGCTCCATGGGCACGGCCCTGCCACCACCCTCTTTCGCCTCATCTTCCTCAAACCCTCGCATAAAATTTCAAGCTTTGCCCGCGCGCCCAGGCTGCAGTTGTTGTTGGCGATCTCATCCTCCAGCGGCAGGGTGAGAAGGGTCGCGTCGTCCATGATCTCGCGCAGTCGTCCAGCGCCCTTGCCGATGGTTTGATTGAGCAGTGCCTGTCCGTCTCTCATCAGAAAACTGCCGTTTTAGCCAGTGTCCCTGAAGTCCGTGCGCGCGCGCCGGCGGGCGTCCGTCGAAAGCTCGGGGGCGAGGGCAAGACCGCATAACGAAATCTAGGCATCGATTTTGCTGCTGGGCAACGCGTTCGCTCGACAGTGCGAGCTGGTCATCTGAAGCTCGCGCGCGCGGGTGCCCAGGGTGAAAAAGTTCCATGTGGCAGGTGCGTGGGCCCGGGCTACCCAGAGGGTCGCCCAAGCTGGCCTGCAAGCTTCGTTCCAGTACTGGGTCGATTGCACTGGCCTCACCAATGGACCAATCAGCAATTAAGCATTGCACGCGCCATTGTTTTTCGCGCGTGCGAGCCTCGCACCGCCGGCAAAAGCCGCACGCTGAGCCTGATGCTGCAGGGCCGAGGCCAGCTTGATCCCGCGTTCAGGGCCGCCAGGGCCCCTGTTGAAGCGATGGCTTCGGCCCTCTGGCAGACGTGGCTGCCGAACCATGTTTTAGCCACCGTGCGCACGTGGGCCAGTCAGCACGTCCTGACCTGGGCCCAGGTCAAGGGACCTGGGGGCGCCTTGGTGCTGACCCTTGCGCGCCTCGGTTGAACGCTGCGCGAGTTTCCTGTGTGGCGCTCCCACAGAGGGGTGCTCATCGATTTCTCGCAGTTGTGCCCTCGCGCGATTTTGAAGCTCGTCGACCAGGCGGCCGAAGCCTGGCAGTGGTCTCAGGTCGCCGCGGGCGAGGGCTTAGAGCATTTGCGCGCCGGGTGCAATTTGGCCCTCCTGCGGCGCCTCACATCCCGAAGTAGACCCCCTCGTTCCCTGGCTGACGTGCGCCGCGCGCTCCAGGTGAGCCAGAGAGCCTACCTCCGAAGCGCCATCGTCAACGGGCAGCGGCCCATGGTTCGGAAAGCCGCAGTCGGTAATTCAGCTTCGGCAGCTTGTTTAAAATGCCAGGCGCCTCGAGGCTCGCTCTGGCATCGCCACCTCTTGTGCAGCACGTCGTGGCCTAACCTAGAGATGCCGTCTGCCGTCGCCAACCTTGTGCCGCGGGAAGATATGCCGCCGGTCGTCGTGCTTGTGGAAAGGTGTCTCTGGCCTCTTCCGCTCCACGCCTTCCAACCTCCCCAGGACGAGCACGTCGCTCGGGTCCGTGGCTCGGGGATTGTTGAAGGGCCCAGCGTTTATGTGGACGGCGCGGATTTTGAATCCCAGTTTCCCGATTTGTGCGTTTGTGGATGGGCGCCCGTGTCCATCGGAGATGGCCCCGGCGCCCCCCAGCAGCGTGCGAATGCCAAGGTCATTGGCCTCTTGTGCGAGCCCGCACCTGATATCGACGGGGCCGAGCTTCTCGCCATCATACATGTTCTGATCTTCTCTATGCCTCCTGTCCACGCTTTTTCGGATTCCGATTTTGTCGTCAAGGGGATCCTGGAGAGGGGCGAGGCCGCCACCGCCCACCCCAAGGCGGCTTGGGTCCACCTGTGGAGGAGGTTTTGGAGGCTTTTGGACGAGTTCGGGGGCTTGGGCCCCCTGGGCTTGTTGGTCTCGAAAGTCAAAGCGCATGCGACCGTCGCCGACGTCCAGGCAGGCCGCGCGCGATACATCGACCGCACTGGTAATGGCATGGCCGACGAGGCGGCCAGGGAGGCCGCGCGGCCCCGCCGCGCGCCGTCCGCCCTGCTCTCTCGCTTCCAGCAATGCGATCAGTTTGTGCTGGGAGTCGGGCTTTGGATTGCCATGGCTGGAGCCGTGGCTGCCGACCGCGACACCACTCATAGGAAGACTTTCAACCGCTCTGCCCCCGCCCTCCAGTTGTGCGAACCCAAAGTTGTGCACTCGGTGGTGTCTGCGGGCGGTGCCGCGTGGCGCCGTGTCTGTCGGTGCGCGGGGGTTGCACCTGGAGGAGAGCGCGGGGGGGGCGCCCTCCCGAGGGCCGTCGCGGCGTCGCGGGCTCTTGCTGCTGAAGGCCACCGACCGCGCAGGCTCCTCGAAGTGGCCCTCTCCTCTGGTTCCCCTGCCCCGCCCCACCCCATCGTGGTATGTGAAGCCAGTGGGCGCGGTGCCAGTGATCGAATATTGGCCCCGCTCCTCGCCCCTGGCAATGGCAAGCCCAGCGAGCACGGAGGTCGCACCCTTAAGCAGCAGATCCAAGGTTTCATGCCTGGGTCCCGGAAGGCTGCCACCTGCTCGACCAGGCGTGCTGAGTTGGCGTAGTGTGTTTGTTTTTTCTCTCGATTGGCGTTCATGGATGACCATGTTTTTCTGCAGTGCTTTGAGGCAGAGGAGAAGGGGGAGGCGGTGCAGGAGGAGGAAGCGGAGGGTGGAGGAGAAAGCGGCGGAGGAGGAGGAGGAGGAGGAGGACCAGTGTAAACCCAAGAGTCATTAACGATGTTGGTATGAACCCCCCCTCCAAGCTCCCTCTTCACAGGCCCCTACAACGGTTCATTTCCATTGAGGGAACTGCCCCGCTGGAAGACAACAGTTTGAAGACCCTGAAGCGTGCCAAAACATTGTTCTCGGGTTGTGAACGCCACGTATCAATCTGATTGCTGCGTCTTGACGACCCCGAATCGCACCATAACGCCATTTTGGGACTTCAACACCGCGAATCAACATAACTGCTGCCCCCACATACTTCTGAGTCCTTCAAATGTTTAATTTCTGGTACGTGGATCATGGGAATCCGTGAAACTCTTGCATTTCTAAAGCGAATGTGCGCGGAGCTAAGGCGAGAACCACATGTTGAAAAGGATCCGTCCTCAATTCACGCAACTTCTGTGCATTATTAAAACGAGGCACGCGGCGCTAAGGCGAGAGTCGCAATTTGAAAACGGCCCGCCCTCAATCCGTGAAGCTCGTGTAATCTTTAATACGAATGTGCGCTGCGCTAGAGCAACAATTTGAGAAAAAAAAAAGGATCCGCCCTCAATCCGTGAAGCTATTGTAATTGTTTTTACAAATGCACGCGGCGCTAAGGCGAGAGCCACATTTTCAAAACGACCCGCCCTCAATCCGTGAAATTCTTGCAACGTATTGAAAACGAATGCGCGCGGCGCTAAGGCGAGAGCCGCATTTTGAAAACCAACCGCCCTCAATCCGTGAAGCTCTTGTAATTTTTTGAAACGAATGCGCGCTGCGTTGAGGCGAGAGCTCCATTTTGAAAACAACCCGCCCTCCATGTATGAAGCTGTGGTCACTTGTGAAACTTCCATAAGTGGTGAGGAAGTCTCAGGCGAAATGCCCGGCCCGCCCTAACAACTGGCTTCGGGGTGCGACCGGGAGAAATTATCTATGAGGAGAAGGAATGGAGGAGGTTAGGGATTATTCGGAACCCCTCCTAGGTTCTCTCAGCCGTTGAAAACTTCAGCTTGCGGGTTTTTTACCTGGGCGGGATGGAACCCAGGCCATTTCCGTCGCCCTCCTATTTCTTGTTTCTTCTTGCTCTCGCCGAAGGGCCTGGTACTTCTCTGCCCTCTCCCATCCCCTTGCTCCCTCATTTCCCCATTCCGCCCTCCTCTGTCTCCGCCTCCACATCCTCCCGCCACTACGGTCGACCCGCATAGTAAGGATGAGCGACGTTCCAAGGGTGCCCTGGCAGCCTTGCCCCTTCGGCCCGTCCTTAGCGTCTTGCGCTGGCCAACCTCGCTCGAAAAAAACGCTAACCTGGCCCTCCAAGGCCCTTGCATCCTTACCGCGCATCCTCATTATACGGGTTGACTGTAGCCTGAAACATAGCCTTATTCCTATTATTTGCATGTCTCCTTGATCTCGGCGCCGAGCTTGAGGACCCGCCAGCTTTCTTAGGTCGTGTCCCCGAGACTGTCGTTTCCATGGGCCTGCACATGCTACGGATAGGGATGAGCTCAAGCCTGGTGTCGATCGACTCGATTTATACCCTTGCTGCTGCCCTCCGCTCTTGGCGCAAGGGGAAGCAGAGCCTGGACAAAAAAGAGTGGACCTGAAGGCCATGAGTGTATCCACACGCCTCCGCCGTGACTCCTCGTGGTGTCGGGGCGCGAGCAAGGGCATGGATAAAATGTCGCTCGCGTGCACCACGCTCGTGAGAAAAGGGCTCGCGGCTGGAACTCCCGACCTCCGGTCTCCGTGTGCAGGACTCTCCTGGGCCGGAGCGGTCCACGAGGACCTTGAGAGTGGCTCGAAACGGGCCATAAGTCTGTCGTGGCTTCTGCCCGACGCCCGGGACGCCAGGGTTCCCCCATCCCCGCCAGGCGTACAACGAGTACAGCGAGCACGAGGCCTCCACGAGCCACCAGCCCTGGGGCGCAGCTGCGTTCGATGGCACGGGAGGCGTGTACTACTACACGCCAGCGTGACCTCCCGCAGGGCTTGGCCGCCGCCGGCGGAGGAAGAGGCCCAGCGTGGCATCTGCACAGGGTTGTCGAGCGGGTGGTGGTAATATGGAGGGTGACTTACATGGGGGTCGAAGTCAAGGGCCCCTGTAGGGCCCCCACCCTCCATTTAGATAACCCCTCATTGCCACCCGTCCGAGATTGGGGGAGGGGGGAAAAGTACTGATGCCGCTACCCCTCGTTTGCGCCGTTTTGGATATCCTGGGAGGCCCTCCTCGGTGCCGTTGGATTCGCTTTGAAGTTTTGGTCAGAACGCACCCGGGAGAGGTCCCGGGAGTAGCGGTATCGGTATTGTTTTGTCTCCCCAGATTGGGAGGGGGTGCGGCGCAGGCTCACCACGGGGAGCCCACTTGACCGTCCAGCGCGAGTTACCCCTGCCCCCCAGCCCTCCTCTCGCGCTCTCCACTTTTCTTCCTCCACCCCCCTTCCCTCCCTTACCCGTGATCTCAGCTTGTGATTAACAAATCCGTGGCGGGTGCGTGTTAAAGAAAAACAACTCCCCTGCTCGGGCGAATCGCGGGGTGGCGCCCGCCGCCAGATTGAAAATCAACGGCGGCGCCGCCCGTGATTAGCGCCGACGCCCAGCCGCCAGCGAGAAGGCGACAGACAGCACAGACTGGGGGAGGGGAAGGGGACGGGAGGCACAGGCGGCAAAAGCAGTGACCGTGAGCAAGTGCGACACCTGTTCGAAATGAAGAAGAACTGCTGTCGGCGCTCGCCCCCGCACTCTCCGTGCTCTTTTCTGTCGTACCGATGTGTTTCTTTCGCCCTGGCCGCAGCCAGGGGGGCGCCAGTTGCCTCGCGGGTCCGCGAACAAGGCGGGATGGACGAAAGGGGGGCGTGGCCAAGCGGGGATTTGCCCAGCAGCTCACGTTGCTGATTTCCCGAACGCCCCCTGGCGCCGAACACGGCCATGCATCGAGGACTGGCCCTTTCGGCGGGGCGACCGAAACCAGCTGCGCACAACAGGTTTCGCAACGCCCCTTTCCTTCCCCAGCCTTTCGTCCGACCCGCGCAAGGCGGGCAGTCTTCCCCCCCCCCTCGGTCGTGGTCTTAGTAGTCGTCGACGAGGACGAGGAAGACGACGTCGAAAACGAGGAGGACGAGGACGAGGGCGGCGGACGGCGGACGGCAGACGGCGACAGCGGCGACGAACGACGACGACGCATTGCGGATGCCCTATGGTGGGCGGGGGGAGTGCTGCGCAGGCCCGCTGTAGTGTAGTCGACGACGACGACGACGACGCACTGCGGATGTCCTATGGGGGCGGGGGTGGTGCTGCGCAGGCCCGACGAAGACGACGACGGCGACGACGACGACGATGGCGGTAACGACGACGATGATGACGACGACGCGACGCCTGAGAGGGTACAGCAAAATTGCCTCGGATGTGTACGACCCCTAAAACAAGTGCTATACGAAAGGGAATCGTATTGAGACTGTCATGAAGGGGGGCGCACGATCCCTGCGGCGGCGCCCGCGACGACCCCCCGGCGCGCGTGATGAAACAAATATTTCGCGCCCCGCGGGGTCTATTCATCAGCCCCGGGGGGGTGCGCATCTGTTAGTCGCAAGCTGACATTACCCGCGCCCGTTTCCCACCATCCATTTTTGCCACCCATCTACCACCCCTGACATATCATTCTTCCCTGGGAGGAATAGGGTGGTCAAGAGGAAAATATCGGAGAGAAGGGGACCTGTTTTTCCCACGTAGGAGCTCGTCGTCGTCGAATGATATATTGGAGAGGCCTTGCGGCAAGTTCCGCCGACCATGAATGGGGGGATCAGGAGGCCTCGGGAAGGTGGCCCTGGGAAGGCCGCGAGGGAGCCGACGAGCACATAAAAACATTGCGACGATTATCCAAACAAAAAGGCTTTGAGGGCACATGGACACCAGGGCAGGGACAGAACGCCGTGCCGCCATTTTTTTGTGGCCTCCGGCCCATCCCGCCACCGTGCCTGGGTGGTGGTGGACCAGACGCCTTTTGATTGAATTTACATTGCGTCTTGAGATGCTTACCGGAGGCCTCTATGAGACCGCGCAGGCCTCTTAGGGGCCTGTTGGGGGCTCTTGGTGGGGGCCGCTTTGGGGCCTTCGGGCGCCTGGTGGGGGCCTGCTATCGGTTTCAGGGGTCATCTTAGATGTAACCTTTGCCAGTCGTCAAACGATTTGGTCGGGAGACCTGATACCCTAGTCTACTTCCAACCTCCTTCATACTTCCATGATCGAGGAGCCTTCACTCTTCTTTCTTGTTCAGGATCGAGAAGCCTTCCCTCTTAACATTCTCCCTTCACCCGTCGAGGGCAACCTCCATGTCCCTGGGCACGATGGGCGAGAGGATTCTGGGAAAGGAGAAGGCGAATGAGGAGGAGGAGGAGAAGGAGGAGGAGCAGCAGGCGGAGGAGGAGGCGGGACAAAAACAGGACGGGCGTGGGGATCAGGAGGGGCTTAATTGAGGAGAACACCATGATGACAAATTTGTCATTCGGATGAGTATAGAGGGAGCGACAGGGTCGAACCCTGTCCTGGGGCGCGATAAGCAGGACGCTCAGGAGGAACAGGAGGAACATGACGATGATGATGATGATGATGATGATGATGATGATGATGATGATGATGATGATGATGACGATGACGATGACGATGACGATGACGATGACGATGACAATGACGATGGTGACGATGATGACGGTGTTGTTGGTGATTGTGATATTGGTGATGGTGGGGATGATGATTGTATTGCTGGTGGTGATGACGTATGAGGAAGGCGAGGATGATACGGAGGAAACAAATGAATGGGGATGGATGAGGGAGGAGTGATGAGTGCGACGTGAGGCGTAGGAGGATGAGGAAGAGACGAAGAGAAACGGGAAACGGGAGGGGGTTAGCAGGACGAGGAGCCAGCGCAGGAGGAGCACGGAGAACTTGTAATCACAAGGCGCATGAGGAGCATGGTGGGGAGCAGGATCACATCCGGTTGCTTGCAGCAAGTCCCGTCACCGGGCCAGCCCAGCAGTCTTGGTGGTGAATGTTTGCAGATCTGGGTGGACCCAGGCTGGGGAGCGCCGGAATATGTGACACTCTAATCCGCGTCGTGTCGGTTTTTTTTTTCTCGTCTTCGTCGTCGTCGTCGTCGTCGTCTCGTTCTTCCGTCCTCTCTTGGGGTCCTGTGTGGCTGTCACGGGGGTCACTTGCGCCACTGTGGGCCCGATTGGGCCATCTTGAGGCTCTCTTGGGCGGCCTCGGGGCCATCTCGGCCATCGAAGAGGTCCCTTGGGACCGACGTGGGGCCTTCTCCCTTGTGGGCATTCTTGGGCCGTCGAGGGGCTCTCTAAGACCGTCTTGGGTCTGGGAGCACGGATCCATAGTTTTTTTATGATGCGTCGCGGTCTCGGCAGCGCGGACCAGTCGTTTTTGTCACGAGGGATCGTGGCCTCGGGAGGCGGGACGGTTCAAGCGTCACTCCTCTACCGGGGGGAGATGATTAGAAGGTTACGGAAACCATTCCAAGCTGCATGTGGCTTTCTACCATACTTCAACGTGCCAGTGGGCACGGTGCAGAGTTTTGGAGGGAGAGGGGATGATAGATGATGGAGGAAGAACGAATGGGGGGGCAGGTGAGGGCAGGGTGAAGAATGGAAGGAGGAAGGGAGGAAGGGAGGAGGCATGAAGCATGCAGCAGGAAGAATGACGGTCGACGGGAGGATGATGAGGTCAAGGAGGAGGAGGATCAGCAGCAGCAGCAGAAGAAGAAAGTTGTCGTGGTGGATCAGGGCAAATCGAAGGAGCGAGTGTGATACAGGAGGGATGGAGGGAGGTGTGAGGTGTACGAGGTGAGGGATGAGGAATGACGGGAGGAAGAGGAGATGGAGAATGAGGAAGAGAAGGAGGAGGTGGACACAGGGGGAGGAGGGGTGATGACCGATGGAGGTGAACAATGATGAGGAGGAGTGAGCAGGACATCGTTTAAGCGGAGGGGATGAGAAGAGGGGAAATTGGAATAAAGAGAGGAAGGAGGATGGGGAGGAGGAGGAGGAGGAGGAGGAGGAGGAGGAGGAGGAGGAGAAGGAGAAAAGAGGAATGGAAGTACGCAGGACACGGCACCAGGAATAACATTGAGTAAAGAGGACGAGCGATGTTTTACGACAAATGCAGAAGGGAGAAGGAAATCGTGGAGTGGAGGAAGGGGGAAGGACGACGAGGAATTCGTTAAGGTGGAATGGAAAAAGAAGGGGGACAGATGGTAGACGGAGGACGGATGGAGGGAAGGAATGATGAGGGAGGAAGCGAGATGGAGGGAGAGAGGATGGAGGACAACGACGTTGGATGATGACGACGACCTAGATGTCGAGGACGACGAAATGGAGGAGTACGGGAATGGTGAGGACGAGCGGCATGGAGAGGGGAAGGATGATGAGGTACAGGAAGATGAGAGACAGGAGACCCTGGAACCAAGTCCCCGCCCGGGCGCCCGACCAGAGATGTGAAACTCGAGACGCGGATCGTGAGCAAGAACGGTAACAAGAGGGAGGAGGATGATGAGGAGGAGCAAGAGGGAGGTTTTTGTTGTTGTTGTTGGGGAGCTACCTCAAGTCAGGAAAAGAACACGCGGGATCTTCGCCCATTAGAGGGGGGGGCTTGGGTCCGCTGCACCGGCACGTGGGAGGCTGACCAACACAGGACCCCCCGACCGCGATGTCGAAGTCCAACGACTGAACGAACAGCACCGCGAGACCGAAGACGAAGATGTTGAGGGGGAAGACGGCCCGACAGGGCACTGTCGTCCTCCTCCCGCCGCATGCGAGCACTAGCTCACCGAACGGCTCCAGGTCACATCAGCTGCGCCGTGGCCTCGCCTTCGACCCAGGCGCAACCGTCGTCGAGCCAAGCTTCTGACATCGCCCGAATCCAGGCCAGCCCCGCACGGCGATCATCCGACATTAGCACGCGGTGGCTCGCGTCAGCGTCCGCCGCGTGCCAGCCAGGGCTTCGGATGTCGCGGTTGACGTCGCCGTCACAGGCCGCAGCGCTCTCCGCCATGTGCATCTGCAGCACC